CGATGACTCAAAATATAGTGAGGACTACGATAACAATTCTCCATCACTCGCTCCGTCAAGGACACAAACATCAAACCCAATACTTGACTGTGGCGTGTTCGCGTGCAACGCATGTCCGTGCTAATTAATATAGATTTAAGGATTTGATTCGTGCGATGAACGTCCATGGAATGTCATTTAAGGGGTTTCATTATTTATTTTCGTTTATTTATTTATTTTTATTTAAAAGAAATTTCTAAACATATATATACTTGGGTTTAGGTTTTTTTATTATTATTTTTTATTTTTTTTAAAAAAAATTAATTTTAATTCTTTTTATTTTGTTTTTTTAATGTCTTTAATACATACTTGAGGATAACGGTGTTTTTGTTTATTTTTGTTTTAATTTTTTTTATTTTTTTTTATTTTTTAAACTAAATATTGATTTGAGTTTTTAATGTTTAACAATTATAAAAGTTTTAAATATGAAAAATATTAAGGATCATAATATTTTCCGTTCATATTATTTTTGGACCATAATATTTTGAATTAAATTATTTTGAATCGTAGTATTTTCGGTCATATCATTTTTGAATCATATGATTTTGGACCAATAATATATTCAATTAAATAAAATATTTGTTCAAAAAACAAAATTTTGGATTATTATATATTTTAAATTTTAAAAGATATAAATAGTGATCATAAAATATTTGAATCAAAATATTTTTAGATTTTAACAAATTAAGGATCATAAACATGTTAAATCATAACATTTTTTTGAATTATAAATATTTTGAATAATCTCATTTTGGATCATATTATATTAAATATTTTTTTTAAAAAAAAACTTATAATCTTTTAAAATAAAGTTTGGTATCTAAAAAACCTTATTTTTTAAAATCTGTTTTCAAAAAGTTTATAATATATGATATATGATAAACGTTTAAAAGGATTTTTAATTTGGAGAACTAAAACCTTCAGGTCTTATTTTTTTTTTTTATTATAAAAATTTAAAATCTTTTAAGCAAATCGTTTGTATCTGCAACAATATATATTTTTTAAAAATTATATTTTACAAACTCACTAAAATAGTATTACGAAGAACTCTATCATTTGTAAATTTGGATAAAAAAAATTCAGTTGTATATTATAAAAACAATATTTATTAAAATTAAAAAAATTAAACACCTCAAAAACTTACTTTTAAAGAAAATCTGTTTAGAATGTCACTACTATAATGAGTGGAAGTATCCCTAAACTTTTTATAATTTGTGGAGAACTTTTTTTTTTCTGCTTTTATATAAAAAATAAAAATTAAAAAATATTTTTTTTTTGAAATTTTCATGATTATGCTCATTTTTTTATAGAATTAAATTTGAAGAACTTTATTTTTCAGAATTTTTTATTCAAACAAATATATGGCAAAAAAAAACGAAATATATGGAAAAAAAACCCAATACCCAATAGAATGCTGCCATGTGGGGTTGAGAGTGGGAGAAGGAGAGTGAACGCATGTGGATAGCTGGATTTTCTGATATTCTAATTTTTTTTTCATTTTTCATTTTAACCCTCAAACATTTTAGCCTTCACCGGAAATTACCAATCTCTTATATAATTACTAAAACGCCATATAATTTCACGAGATATGACGATAAATAAAATCAAGGGTTAGGTCATTTTTGGTCATTAACTTTTGGTTTTGTGCTCATTTGGTCACTTAACTATTTTTAAGTTTTAAAAGGTCATCAAACTTTTGACTTTGTGCTCAATTAGTCACTTAACTTTTGGTTTGGTCACATTTAGTCACCTAACTTTTAGATTTGTGCTCATTTAGTCACCTAACTTTTAAAATTGTGTTCATTTAGTCACTAAACTTTTAAGAAAATTTAAAAGTTTAGTGACTAAATGAGCACAATTTTAAAAGTTTGGTGACTAAATGTGATCAAAACAAAAGTTAAGTGACTAAATGAGCACCAATCCAAAAGTTTGATGACCTTTTAAAACTTAAAAAGAGTTAAGTGACCAAATGAGTATAAAACCAAAAGTTAAGTGATCAAAAATGACCTAAACCCTAAAATCAAATCTTCACCTTTTATTTTTTTTTTTCAGTTTTACGACAATTAATTGTCAACCCGATCCTAATTATATATATATATATA